AAAATAAATGTTCCAAATGTCAGTTCGGTTTCTGGGTTAAATTGGCTCTAAATTACCCTGTTCTAAAGCAGCATTTCAAAGCTTTGGGAAGCCCTGTCTGGGGCCTGTCTAGACCTCAGAATTGGCCTGGTTTGTTTTAAAGTTTCAGCAAAGGGCCAGCCTGCTAGATTTGCCTACTGCTAGGGGAGGCACATGTGTGAGATGTGATGCAGATTCCTAAGGTACTGTTTTGTTTTGTTTCATTATATCCTGCATGCAAAAATAATTTTGGAAGTGCTATCATAGTATGTTTTGTGTAATTGCATCATTTATTGGCTTCAGAGCTTCTTAAGAGAAGAAGAGCAAAGTGATAGATCAAAACCAATGATCCAGTGGAATGAAAGTACCAGATTCTAGTCCTACACCATAACTAACCACTGCAGAACTGGAGTAGTCGCCCAACTTCTTTGGTCTCCATTTCTAAAGTGAGGCATTTGGAATTTAAACTCTCTTGGTTCTCAGTATCTATGACATTGCAAAAGTGCTGACAGGTTTTCTAAATTTTATTGTATGCTGTATGTTTTCACTGGAAAACAAACCAAAAATTCAGCACCAATTATACACTGGGCAACGCTACAGCTCAGAAAGGACAGCTGGGCAGTTCTGAGTTAGTAAATAAGGGCTTATGGAAACTCAGAAGCTCATGCAATTAGGGCACTGAGCCAACCCAGGTAATGTATCTTTCACAATCAGTGTGACGAAAGAACAAAATTGAATTATACTTTTTAAACATAAACATGCTTTGTTTGGTTTTTTTTTCTAAATAAAGTTTTGGAGAGAACTAGAAACACTGATCCAGTCAATTAGCTCATACCCAAGCAGTTCTGCTTTGCATGCATTTGACAAGGTAGAACATTCATAAATAGGTATATTTAAGCACCTGTCAGGGCTGGATTGTGTAATAGTCTGATATGTATGACCTTACATTTCTTTAATTACTGCTTAATGTAGCACCTGCAGTATAGGCCAAGCACTGTGGGTTTTGTGAGCCCACTTCTCACTGGAAAGATGGAGGGTGTCACTCAAGTCTGTTGCCTGGTCCTTTCAAGTTGTACAAAACAGGTAGGTCAGCAACTGGGCGCCAAAACACCTGGCACCATGCTGGACCCTGTCATTACAGCCAAAGGGGGGGTCCCCTCAACAGCAAAATCTATTTACATACCAGCTGTGAGCAAGTAGGCTAATAGCATGCCAAGATGCTACTGTTTCTGACCCCTTGATCTTAATGCATGAGGTCTGGCTGGGTGAGAATACAGCCTCGTCCAAGGACAGCCTTCTTTCCAGTCTCTGTCTGGAAGGAAATTGAGAAGACTACCCTTTCACCTCAGTCTCAGAACCCATGGCAACCCCCTCCCTTTCTCTCTCTCTCTCTCTCTCTCTCTCTCTCTCTCTCTCTCTCTCTCTCTCTTTCTTCTGTGGTGTTGGGGATTAAACCCAGGGCTTTAAGCATGTTAACAAAGTGCCTACAACTTTGCTACATGCCAGGCCCTTAGATTTTCTTCTTTAAAAAAAAAAAACACTATTCGAGCTTATTAAACAAATTTTTAGAAGTATTATAACGTGTTTAACTTTCATCAGCTTCAAAGTTTATGTTGCTCCAAATTTTGCAGGTGATTGAACTTTCAAATCTGCTAACACCTGCTGAATTGATTCTATTCTGTATTCTAATTTCTTCTTGCAAATTTTTCTTTGCTTCCAACATTTCTTATGTTTCTTCTTGAGAACGGCTAATGAAAACATCACCAATTTGCTAAGGTATCATCATCTGCAAGCATGATGTCATCACAAGCATCGTCTAAATTCTAGAGTTGTTTCTTTTTTACTTCTATTTCTTCCTTTTGCTCCAGGATTCTACTCGTCTTCTGCACAAATTTATCTTTTGTTGATTTTCAAAGTAACGCTGACGTTTTCTGTAGCTGTCTTCTTCATGGTGGCAGCCATCTTGGGGCTGCCTTAGCTTCTCTTCTTATAGACTGATTTGATGATGTAAATTTTCTCTCAAAATGTATCCTTGAAACTGCTTCGTAATGGAGCTGATATTGAGTGAATTAAATTTGAGAGAAGAGCAGCTTACATTTTTTTTTTTTAAAACTGAGGTGAAATTCACATAACAATTAGCCAGTTTAAAGGAAACAGCTCTGTGGCATTTAGAGCACTCACACTGACTTATGTCACTCCCTTTCTCTGCTTCAGCACTGTGTCCTCACCCTGGAAGTCCATCTGCTACCCCTTGGGTAATCACTCCCCAGTTGCCCCTTCCCTAATTTCTTGGCAACCACAAATCTGCTTTCTATCACTGTGGATCTGATTATTCTGGATATGTTTTATGTTTTCAGGGGCCACTTTCACTACAAAATATTCAGCTCCCAGAGGACATGCAGGAAAAGAGCGTGTCTGTGTGTTCCCATGATTATTAAGTGTTTCCCTGCAGGGCCCCCTGCTTCCTTCCCCTGAAGTCCAAGCACCTGTAGACCACAACAGGCTGCTGACCAGCTCCAGGAAAGCTGCAAGCAGCCAGCATAAGGAGAAGAATGATGTGCATTTAGAGTTCCAGGAAAGGTGTAAGTAGGGCCAAGTAAAATGATTTGACTTGGAATTTGGCCACAGTCAAGGGCTAATTAATGGGGATTATGAACAAAGTGAGGAATGTGCTCTTGGCGGCTGAGTTATCAGCGTAGTAAAGCCTGGCCTGTGAGTTTCTAACCACCATAGAAGGATGCCCTTATGCTCCCAGCAACATATTGAATCTGTTAAGTACTGAAGAAAAGTGGACTCTCGGAAAAAGATGTGGAGTCTTTTTATTCACTTGCTGAGAGGTTGCTGCTTCAATCAGTGGGAACCTGGGACACGTGACTCTTTGATCTCAAATCTGGGAGGGCAGTGGTTGGGTTAGCAGGATCTGTTAGCATGCTGTTCCAAGGCTTCAAAACGCCAAAGCAGGAGAGCACCTACATTTTCCTCCTTCTAATTCGAGCAGTTAGCAATTCTTACAGTTGAACTGAAATTATTTCTATACAGGTCAAAACAAGAAATATTTGTGGACCAACAACAACAGTTCTATGGTGTTGTTTCTTCATTTAAGTCATCTACAAACCTGGGAAAAGAAAGAGAAAATTAGGAAAATGACTGGAAATGGTGAAAAGTGTTTTTTGCCTCTCCCTCAGCATCTGTGAGACAAAAAGTTTCCAAATATTTGTCTGTGTTCCAGAGTCATTTAAGTAATCTTAATAAACTCACCTCTGTTTCCTTACTATTGCAAAGTCTAGTCATTTTTTTCCCTGTAGAATTAAGTAGCAAGTTACACTGCATATGGAAATGCATGTATTTTATGCAAAAACTGTGTTTTTTCTTAGGTGGGCTCTTTCTTTACTCATAGAAACTATCATTCATTGTACATAAAAGTTAAAAAAAATTTCCAGCTCTTGATTTTAAAAAAGCAACTTGGTTTTTACTCTAAAGTTGCACCTTTTATTTAGCCCACGCTCACCCTGCAGAGCCAGTTTTTCTCTCACTCTTCACTTTCAGTTTTCAAATAAACTTTGTCACTTTGCTAGTTTCATCCAATTCTTTGTTCCAGATGAGAACTCCAGAGGGAGAGGCGAGCACCCCAGAAAACGGGTAATACTCAGTTGACGAGCCACTTTTAGAAGCAGGCTATCCAATAACAGTACCATCTTCACTCATCAGGAAGTGAAGGAAAGTCAGTTAAAATTATTTTGCACGGTATTTTCACTGTTCAGGTAAAGCAAAACACATAGGCTATGCATATATAAGGCGTGGACCAAAATTGTGTAATTTTGGTGATTCCACATTTTAATCCAATACACTTACCTTTGCATTTTAAGCTGATAATTGCACAATATAAAGATAAATAGTAAGGTTCTGCCAATAACTTAAACTTTTCTTATAACATCATATAGTAAATATGAGCACACCCTGGCAAATAGAGAGATCAGGGTAGAAAGGAAAAAGCTTCATAATTTAGAGCATTTAATGACACTTCCCACATAGCATCGGGTCCCTAAGTTGTGTAGCTGGCCTGGGGATGGCTATGGGTGTGACACCAGGGCTGGAAAGGTGTAGCTGGAACTGTCACACTGATTAGTTATGTTTTCAAAAATGAATTTAAGTTTCTCAAGTCAATTCCTACTTTAAAAAAAATAATTTCCCTTAATATCAAATACTGTGTTTCTCCTCCAGAGCACATTGCCCCTGGTATATTTCCATGAGACAGGCCAGGAGAGCAGCTGTCAAGGACTGAGCTCTCATGTTCTTTATATGGAGCTTGGTTGGTTCCTATGAATCTTAGGTTGAACTTGGTTATTTTATGGACCATTAAAAAACCTTTTATTAAAAGAGTGTTAAGCTACAATAATGCAAAAAGAAAATGGTAGCTTAAAAAGGTAAAGAACAGACAAAACATACTGATATCTTTTTTTAGGAATTCTAAAAGCCACAGTCAGATTTCATTGTCTTGCATTTGTTTTCATATTTACAACTCTGTGGGGTTTACTAATCTCAGAGCTATAATGCTTTTTATAACTGAAGTGGAAGCTGTTCCTGGGTGTAATTTATTAGTCCTCTCCTTTGCTTTTAACTTATTGATCTATATGTTTGACAAAATATAAACCTTGAAAAACAAGGCTTGGTAATTTAGCACCATATACACTTTCAAGCTTCAGAAATGGTTAGATACGTTTCATTTATATTCTTTATTATTCATTTGACTTACAAAGTATACGGTCGTGGAAATTGCCTGTCAGTTTTACTACTGAAACCTCCAGCTACTCTTATTAAGATTTTTATAATCACTCACATCCCTCCAAGAAAATTCCCTGTGTAGGGGGAAATCTTCAGTGGAGAAGGCTTCTGCAAGGACTTCCAACCCCTTAACCTAGATTAGAGTACGATGTGAAGTCAGGAAATGACGTATCGGGGCAGGAATCAGTTGTGCTCCCTCCCAACTCTATTTTAAAGCACTTTCCATTTTAAATATAGCAATAAAATATCAGCCTTGAAATGTCTGATAAGGATAAAAGCAATAGATCCAAATCCAATCTGAATCTGACACTGCCAGGAACAAGAATTCACATTGGTAAGTCAGGGTTCGTTTATGGGGCCATAAATGGGTGGGCCAGCTATAATTTGGGTATTAAACTTGTAAAATATATTGATGGTATGGAAGAGCTAAATAAATAATTTACTACAGGAAAATTGGAAATCTTTACATGGTACTTAATTGACCAGTTGGTCTCCCAGATTCTCAATGGTTCTTGTTTGGCATTTGTGCGTTTTTCACAGGCTGGATTTTTCTTTTCTCCACTTGAGTTTAATTTCTCTCTGCAGTGAATGATCACAAGTTAGTGCATTTCTGAAAACACATGCAGTTTCTATTTAAAATTCTGTCAATCCATTACATGCCTTTGACAATTTTATTTACCTTTTGGGAGGATAAATGTAGCCTATACTCTGTCTGTCCCTGAATTAGACAATTTTCTTCTCAGTCTCAAAAAGCCTTTTAAGTACCACATTTCTGAACGTAGAACTGGCAGGGCCTTGATGAGGTGTTTTTTAAAAAATTACAGAATCCTTTTGTTTGGTATTTTGGAAATCTGCTGAATAGGGGAAAAAATGATTTTAGAAAGCCCTGTTGCTCCCCCTCACCCCCATCTCTGAGATGCTAAGTATGCTGAGAAAAGAAGGAGCAGGCACACAGACAGACCAAACCAAGGGAGTGTTGTCATGTACAAGTACTCAGGAAAGCAAGCAGCTTCCTTGGACAGGTTTTAAATGTATTTACTCAACAACAATGGTATCTCATATGTGTACGATACTTACATGTTTTTAAGGGCTTCCATATCCTTATCTTTTCAACCTTGGTGTTATCCTCCCAAAGTAAATAGGTTTTACAATGACAAAATTGAGGTTAGAGGGCAAGTTGGGACTTTCACATAGTAATTTAATACACTAAATTCTTAGAATGGAGTCTAGAACCTAATTTTTCAGCATCCCAGATTTACTGTAGTATGAAAGTCATTCTGCACTTTCTCTGCAGGCCAACTCAAACAAGCTTAAACAGTAAAGAGCTGCAGGGTTTGTGTAATGGGAAGCCTAGAGCTTGGGCCCATCTAGGTTTTGACTCTCTAATCTGCAGCTCTTTCTGCTCTGTGCTCTCTTCAGAGCTGACTTAAACTTCAGATCAGCGCTCCTCATGGCTGCAAAATGGGGCTCAGAAGCAAATGAGCAGCATGTTTCCCAGATCGCCCTTCTAGGTCAGAGTTTCCATTGTTATTTCATAAAAAAACAAGGTGCAAAAGTTTTCTGGAAACTTTCAGCAGCCTTTTTCTTTCTCCAGAATCAGAGTCCATGACACCCTCACCGAATGACGAGCAAGGACCATGGAGTACTCTGATAGCCAATCCCAAGCCACGTGGGACATCAGAGGCGGGAAGGTACCTGAACAAAATCAGGGTCCTTGTAAGAAGGAAGACCAGCTGCGGAGAGATAATCCAGAGCAGCCTCTACAGTCAGTGAAGTGGTTTCGGTAAGCAACAAATTTGAGAAAATTCATGTGTCAAGGAATAAGCTCTCAAAAAGAGACTGTTAAAGTTTGGTCAGAAGACCTGACAAAACAACTGAATTCTGGTTGTTTTGTTGTCTTTTATGCATTTTCCTCTTATTACCCAGCAACATCCTGTTCTTCCACATGGCTCCTCCCAAGACCCTGGGGTTCTCCCAGGCGCAGTGGCTTGTCTCACCTTAAGGAAACCCAGGGTTTGGCAGAAAATCTTGGTCCTCAGAGGCCCTGGCTTCATTCTATCCTGGAAGCCCCATCTTTGTTTTGCTGTCCCGGGCCTGAACCCAGGGCTAGTCATACAGCCAAGTGTCTACCACTGAGCTACAGTCTCAGCCTGACCCCCCTCATCCGTATCATTTTGAGATAGGGTCCCTTTAAACCACCCAGGCTGAATGTCAACCCTCCTGCCTCAGCCCCTGGTAACTGGGATCCCAGAGGTGTGCCACTGAGGTAATAGTTGCACACGACTAGATCCCATTTCTAAAAGGGAGAAAAATATAGAGCAGTTAGCCATAGAATCCTGTCCAATCCCAAAAGGGAAGGTGTGGGAGTTGATTGTTTTCCCTGAAGCAAGGCGTGGCAGTCCAAAATAGTCACAGTGTGCCCTGGTCAGTTCCCCAGCACTGTGCTTGTCTTAGCCCTTATGACTGCCCTTGCGGAAAGGGTAGGGCCACACAGCGAACACGGTTCTGTCAGTCCTCCCCGAAGTAGACTCTACATATTTTGCTCTGGGTATCCCCAGTGCTGTAAATGTGCAAAGCCCTCGGTGCAGCGGGTGACATGCTGGCCTGCCTACAGGCTCTAGGGACGGATGAAAAGATGGCAGTGGTGGGGTGGGGGTGGGGGTGGGGAGCACACAGCTGCCAATAACAACCGTGTGTGTTTTCAGGCGGGCTCTTTCAGGCAATGGAAAATGCTTTCTCTATAGGCATCAGGCCTGGGTAGCTAATAAAAAGCAAAGAACACAGCCCCAAACCCCAAACACAATGTCCTTTAAAATGAGGCTTGAGACCTAGTTATTCGCATGTGACCAGAAGGACTGGTGACATGATTTGCAGGGTCTTGTACAAAATGAAAATGGGGACCCCTTGTTGAAAAATTAAGAATTATAAGACAGTGACAGTAGAAGATTAAATCAAGCCCTTCCGCCCAGGGGCCCAACGTCATTGCGACTGCGCATGCTCTGTGAAGCCGGCTGTGATAACTGGGCTCTTTAAAGTGACAGAACACAATTTCCATCACTGTTTATCTATTTCTTATCTTTAAATAGTGATGTTCTTCCAAACAGCCCTGAAGATAGAAAACTAAATTGTTTGGATGTTAAGAACTGTTTTAATTGGAGAGGCAGAGCCTACCAGCAGATTTAAGAAAGGCTGAGAGTATACAATAAAATTTTTGCTCTGGAGTCAGCCTTAGTTTGCTGCAGTCATACGTGGTTTGATTATGGGCTAATCTAATCTCTCAGTGGTCTTGGTCATGCACCACCGATCTCAAAGTCATGACCTCACTTCCTGTAAAGCAAGGCTAATTCTAGTGCATAACTTACTAGGGCACTGTAGGGATTAAACGCAATATTAAATGTATACTGCTCAGCGTAATGCCCAGATCAGAGTAGCTGCTCAATAAATATTAGCAACTGCAATAATTATTAAAATCTCCCAGGGAAAAGAAGTTTTAGAAAACCAGGAATCCTCCACCAATGTCTTTGGGATATCAAACTGCTGTCTTTTCCTGTTTAGCTTTCTTTTCTGATAATATGCTCTGTATTTGTAGAAAATTCCAGAAAAATAATCAAATTAAATTCGCACATGGATGAATCATTCAAAGATAATTAGTACTAGTATTTCAATATATTTTTCTCAAATTTTCCCACATAAATAGGTCTTTACTAGCTCATCCATCGTCTTATAGTCTTCCCCCTTACAACAGTGAATATCACCTCCAGTCATTAAATAATCTTCGATTTTTTGTGATAGCTTATTTCTATGTTAGGCAGATGTTTCCTAATTTGTTCATTGCTTGTTTGAAATCATTTCCAGTCTTCAGCATTATAAATTGCACAGTTACGATGTATATGCACCTGGTCACCTGACTGTTCCTTAGAGAAGAATTCTCTCTTAGGCGAGCTATGTTGGTCAGTTTTCCATCGCTTGACAAAACAATTCAGAGGAGGAAAACAGAACTCATTTAAACCTCCGGACACACATCACACTTTCAAAACGATTGTTTCTCCCTCATCAGGTGTGGCTGGGGGCATCCTATCTCTCCCAAATCCTCTCCAACAACAAATGTTATATTTGCAAACCTTTGGCCATCTGACAGGCATGAAATTATGACCTCTGTAGTATTATTGTAATTTTTTTTGGCAGTACAGGAGATCAAACCTGGGGGGCGCTCTCCCAGGGGGAGCTACCAGACACCCCCCAAACACACCCCCTACACCTTATAAGTTTATTCTGAGACAAGGTCTTGCTAAATTGCCCAGACTAGCCTCAGAATTACAATCCTCCTGGCTTAGTCTCTCAAATTGTTGGGATTATGGGTGTGTGCCACTGTGCTGAGTTTGTACTTTGGGTCAATATTTTCATGTTTATTGACAATTTGTATCACTGCAAATTGAGGGTTCCTGACCATGGCCAGTTTTTATGTTGGCAAATTTGATTTGTGAGCTATATGATTTGCAGACATGCACCCCACATTCTCACCATATATATGTATATATATATATATATATATATGATCATATATATATATATATATATATATGATCATATATATATATATATGATCTTTTTCTCTAGTAATGTATTTTTACTACTAATAACATACCAGACCAGAGCAGACCAAGAAGTAGCAAAAGTAAGATGATAAAGTATTTCACAAATGCTGATCTCACTGCAATCATGTCAGATAAACTTATCTTTCTTGTAAATAATAGCAATACTAATAGAGAGCAACTCTTCCACATTTTATATGATTTTGAGAAGCCAACAGTGTAGTCATCAAAATGTTAGTAATATGGTGCTGGTTTTTTTTTTACCTGTATGATAAGGGCAATATCATCCAGTTACCAAAAAAGGTAATTTTTATTTTATTTTAGATCCTGTACATCACAGAATTTCTGTCCTGAACTCAAGACCTCACACTTGCCTGGCAGGTGCTATGCCATTGAGCTAAACCCCCAGCCCTTCAATATCTTTTTTACAGAACAAATAATGAATACATATCAAAAGACCTGGTGATGGTTAGAATATGTCTATAGAGCTTTGCTCTATATGGTCTAACAGAGGTAAAGGTACAAGTTGAATTCGTACTGTGATAATCTGTGTGTGACCTAGGTCCTGTCGCCATTTTAGCCTTCATCTAATCAGACCTTGCTCCTGCTTGCTAAGCTCTGCTTGCAGAGTTCAGTATAGTGGGTCCTGTAAGACCTTGGGCCTCTAGGTTTGAGGTCAAGTGCACATAACCTCCTCTTGACAAGTGACCCCGGGCACTAATGTTTTTGTGCCTCACTTTGCATTTTTAAACCAGGGACAGTATCTTTGTAACAAGGCCATTGTGAAAAATGAGAGTAGTTAACAGAACCACAGGAGCACAGTAAGTGCTCAATAAATGCATATCATTGTTGTTAAATCCAGCTGGTTCAAGGCCTCAATAAATAATATGGATTCACTGACAGGACTGACTTACAAGTGCTTTATTTTATGCCTGTTATACCTTTAACCTGAGCAGTGATGCTAAAGGACAGGTCTGCTATGATCACATTCACCTGCCTAATCCAGCCGCAGGGAGAGCTGGGGTGGGACCGACTCCTTCTCCCTGAGAGACCAGTGCGGCTGTGTGCCTGCCAAGTTTCACCCTGGCTCACAGCTCTCTGACTCAGTCTCTTTCAAGCCACACCATCTCTCATCTCAACAGGTCGTGTATAGGGAAATAAAAATATCATTTCTTCTTCCATCTTTAATTCACTGGGTGAGGCCCCTGTCACAAAACGCAGAGTCACAAGAAAAGCGTAATACTATTTCCTATAAGTCTTCTGTCATGTGGCCCCTTCCAGTAGGAAGTGAAGATTGGGAAGAAGCGGTGAAGCCCGGGGTATTTATGTTAGATTTGGAGAGAGTGGAGGGTCTGGAGAAACAGGACAGGACAAAGGGGTGATGAGCCGAATGTAAGAAGCAGGTGCAAACTCAGCCAGCCTCTTCACTGGGGCTTCCTTAGCTCCCGTTAGGGAGGCTCCTTTCCCTGGGCCAAGAGCCTGAGAGTCTGTGGTCTGCTTCAGGGGAAGCGCACTCTTCCTCAACTCTGTCAGCTCAAAATAGTCAAGATGCCTGGGTGCCATGCTTTGGGGTATCATGTCCTGACCCTCATCGTGCTCATTTACTGCTGTAAGGGATTACATTCCTTTACTGCTCTCAACTCACTTTCATTTTACAACACATGGTTGCAACATAAATATAATCAAAATAACTAATTGGAAGAAGATTGATGGTAATCAAATTAAAAGATATGCACCTGTTAAGTGAAAATGTATTGCTTTTAAGCACACTTTCTTTAATATTTTAGTTTATTTGTATATTTTATTGGTATATATTTGTTGGTATATTTTATTGGTACATGTCTTAGTTGCTTTTTCTGGTCGCTGAGACAAAATACCTGATGACCAAAATTGGGAAAGGAAAGGTTTATTTCTTACAGTTTTTGGAGGTTTCAGTCCATACTCAGTTGGCTCCAAGGCAGGTTGGCATGGCAGGGCCGCAGTTCATGGTGGCTGCAAACAGCAAGCCAGAAACCAGCAAAAGAGCAAGACACACCTTATTCCTGTCATTACATTACATCCTGGCTCCACCTCTATGTGGGTGTAGCACTGACACCATCAAGCCAAGCACTATACAATGAACCAATCACAGATGCATAATGTAAACGCATGAGGCCTGGGGGTCACCAACATAAACCATAATGATTACAAT